GTTTTATTTATTTAACAATATGTAATTTATAATGCAAATGATTTACTACTAGTAAATAACTATAGAAACCAAAAAACATGTATTGAAAAAATTCATAACTATTAATGGGAAACAAATCCATGCAATAGTAGCCGATTGTGGGTCCCATCGATAGCCTCTCTATGAATGCAAACATTTTCAACCGATCGCACAGTGAGAGCACCGGTTGTCGGCCATCAGTAGTGGACAGGTATGACATCAATAAGGGGTACGACTGATGAGCTGATTTTGAAATCCACGTACAAAACACACATGCTATAATAGGCATTATAGTGCCACAAATTCCAACAATTGACATCATTACCCTTATCGATAATTCACAGTTTTTGTTTAAAGCTGTATAATTTGCAATTTGCATATTAGGAGTTGCTATGAAATACACTATAAATACAATGTATTTAAACGATTCGTTCAGACGTTTTGTCTGTAATTCCCAGTAATTGTGTTCAACGATAGCCGATATTAGTAGCCGTTTGTTATCATACTTCACACTAAATGCTATTCTATGGGATATTTCCAAAAATTTATGTTTTAAATAATATACAGTTATAAAGCATATGGTAAAACAATAGAAAGTAATTGCTGTCATTGCTATCCAAGTAAAAAATAGATTCATGCTATAAATGATCATCATAAGTAATTTCCAAATACTAAAATTGTCAATCATTATTACATAATGGTGATATGTTCCTATTAATACTAGTGGCACTAATATTGTAATAACTGCATACTTATTAACATATATATTCCACCATCTTAAATATATAGCTAATTGTATAACTCGGTGTCTATTTAGAGGATATTTAAATAAATTATATTCTAACCGATAAATAAACTTGTACACATAATATTTACTTATCAATTCTTGATAATGAATCATTACTGCTATACACAATATGGGAAATGGCAAGATGGTCCCAACAAGACATAGCGTTTCATGCAATTCTACGTGTTTAAAGTCAAATAACACATCTAGCATATTCTGATCTTTTACCAAGACAATTCCCATAAGTCTTACGCACCAGAACAATATGATCAATTTACTAATAATTACTAAATATAATCTCCATTTATATATATTTGATGCACTGTTAGACGTGTCAGTGATTGACAGTATATAATCGTATGAGTCCTCAAAAATCGTTACAAAATAATTTTTAGCAAATGTATCTAACGCTTCGCATTCAGCCATTATATTGGTATTAATTATTTGATTAAATCTATTAATATCAGTTAGAGTTGCCATGGTCAATATTAAAGTTAAACTATGCAAGAGTGCTGTGTTTGCTGAACTGTATTATATTTTATTATTTTGCGATATTAAACTGAAAGTGAGTATATGAGTTTATTTAAATTATTTTCATATAAATTTGATATTTTAAAATAATTTAACCTTAAACAAATATGTAGCTTAAAAAACAATACTTCATTATTTATTCATTAAACAAGGTAAACAATTTTTAGATCAAATACAAGTGTATGTTTAGTGTTAAACTAAATTTCTTATTTATATTAACATGATAAATTAAGTTTATAAAAATATAAAAATAAACTTTTATATAAAGTTATATCTAATCAAAGAATACAAATACAATATTGATCATGGAACTTTTAAATAAAAACATAAAACTTAAATATTAACATTAATTAAGCAAATATTAATTAAATTAATACATTATGATCATTTTTCATATAAATAATTAACAATTTTAAAATAATGATAAAAGTAACACATAATTAGTGGCACAAAAATATACACAGGATCGCCATAAAATAGAGAGAGATTAATTTTATTATGACGTGGTTATTGAATCACCAAGTTAAATTGTCAACTATCATTTAAAATAATCGTTACTAATTATAAAACAGAGTTTCCCCTAAATTTATAAAAGTTTGTATTAAACTATTAGAATTGAATATTAAAAGTTATATTTAAGTTCAAACCCCACTTTTGATATTAGTGTATACTATATATGAGTAGCACTTGAATAGAGTATGAATTACACAGCAATTGTTTTATAAAATAGGCCGATTCGGCCTATCAATGGCATCGATGAATATACATATTTATAAAACTCATAGTTATTAATAGGAAACAAATCCAAGCAATAGAAGCCGATTGTGGGTCCCATTGATAGCCTCTCTATGAATGCAAACACTTTCAACCGATCGCACAGTGAGAGCACCGGTTGTCGGCCACCAGTAGTGGACACGTATGACAATAATATAGGGTAGGACTTATGGGCAGCCGTTGAGATCCACGTACATAATAAACATATAATAAACGGCATACAACCCACAGACATTGCTAATATGACTATCATTAGCCTTATGGATAAATCCGTATTTTTATCATGCATTATACTAAAGCCAATTTGAGTGCCGGGCGTTGCTATAAAATACACAACAAATATAATGTATTTCATGTATTCGTTGAGACGTTTTGTCTGTAATTCCCAATAATTGTATTCAACGATAGCCGACATTAATAGCCTTTTGTTATTGTATTTCATACTTAATGCTATTCTATGGGATACTGCACGGAATTTTTGTCTAATATAATACGTTGATAAAAACATTATGGTACAGCCGATGCATGCTATTGGCACAATAGCTAAACAATATATTATTACTTGTGTATCATGTATAATCATTAAACAGAATATGAATATTGTTGGTTGATTAAAGAATATAATAAAATGTTGGTAACAAAATGTGACAAATATAGACAATGTTAAGTACAGATATGGCTGTTTTATTAAATATAAATTGCATCGTCGTATATATTTAATTAAACGCCTACTTAGATCAATAGGTGTTTTATATTTGAACGAGTTAAATTTGATATGATTCATAAATTCAAGCATGGTCATTTTACTATTTAGTTCATAATATGTGGTTAATGCACCACAGTACAGAATTGTAATACTAGACATTAATACATATAAGTAGAAAGCAAATTTACCCTTTATGTGTTTCAAATCGTATAACCAAGTCAGTATATCCTGATCATTTAACGTTAATAGCAAAAATAGTTAAGTTATAAATAATATACTAACTAATCTTTATATATTATTATAATAAATAACCGCCATTTATCAATACTAATGTAATTATTACCGGTGTTAGTGATGTACGTAGTGTTCCCAGAAGCTCCCGGAATGGCAGGAGTCTCCAGGAATTGAGGTCTAGCTCCTGTCTCCCGGCGAAGGTCTCGCCTTGATATGGGGAGCTCAAGGAATTTAAAACGCAATTAAGACAGCATATTTTATGTAAAATATCAATGAAAATAATTTTGATGATATTTAAATAGGTATAAATTTGCAGATTATTAATGTTTATGTTTACCCAAAAATATTAACTCCGTAATTTGGTTAAAAATTTAAATAAATGTTCTAAAAGGCAGTTATAAACTTGTAATGCAATATAAACTACAATTTATATACTGTAATAATAATCTAAATTATTATTTTTGCTTTAAAAACGTATCAAGGAAAAACTCAAGGAATTTTCAATAAAATCTCAAAATCTAAACAAAATATTATGAAAGAAAACTTTGAAGTCTATTAAAGGCTGAGGACTGAGTGCCAAAAGTTGGACACATTTATGCGCAAAACATTTGTGACGGTTTTTACCGATTCAGACGAATAAAAAACGTATCAAGGAAAAACTCAAGGAATTTTCAATAAAATCTCAAGGAATCTCAAGGAAAATATTACTTAAAAGTACATTTCTCAAGGAAATTGAAATATTGATCTGGGAACACTAGATGTACGCGTGGTATTCGTCTGAATCGGTAAAAACCGTCACAAATGTTTTGCGCATAAATGTGTCCAACTTTTGGCACTCAGTCCTCAGCCTTTAATAGACTTCAAAGTTTTCTTTCATAATATTTTGTTTAGATTTTGACATTATATTTGTACCCATTTTTTAAAGCTAGATAATTAAATATTCTAGTCACTTATTTAGAATTAATAACGTATAAATAATATTTAATATACAGTATATTCGAATAAATGTTAATTTATAATACTGTATGTTTAAATTATTGTTTACTGAATTAGACTTTAATGATCATATATTTTGAAAAATTATTTTTATTATTTATTCAATATTTAAGCAACATTTCAAAATATTTACTATATTTTATTTTAACAAAAGTTTTATTCTTACGTATTTTATTATGAATTGTACTATTAATAAATATTTATTCTATTATAGAATTAATTTTCATTTATTTTATTTTGTAAATTATTTGTCAAACAATAATATTTTTAATTTTTAGGCACAATTTAATCAATAATGTTGTTTATAATATGGTGAAATACTTGAACTCTCCCCTACTTAAATGATGTATTAATAGCATGTGATAACATATTACAATATATCTCAATAAAATAATTAATATAGTCAAGTCTTTTCATACAAATTAATTCATTTATTAATACTATTCAATAATAAAATAATGTAACCATAAGAATTATGATAAAATATTTTGATTTTTAAAATAATAATTCATTATTTATCATAACAAGTTGATTTCACTATAAATATGTGAATTATTGGCAATATAATACTTAATGGCACCAAATTATCTCGCAAATATTACCATGCTTAAGCAAGGATTACAAAGCACTTCTTAATTGAATCACTTCTGTATTCATATTAATTTTATTAACACAAATATTGTACTAAATTCATGAATTTTTAAATGTCAAGTGTTTTTATAAATATGTGTAATGCGAAAGTAAAAGGTGATAAGTATTGATCATTGAATATATATTTGTTACCCAGTCAACATAATCTGTCGCCGCGGTTTTTGTGATTACAGTTAAACTAGAAAAGCTAGATCAAATTAGTAAAAAGTAAAATGAAGGTCCACATGTCTAGTTTTTTGTATCAAAAAATTATTTCAATCACGTGATCACAACACAATAATTTTTGGGTCAAATCGATTTGCGATGTTTTGTGCCCACCTCGAGGGGGGCCAGGAAGGGGCGGGTATGCTAATCTTCAGAGGAGATGTCAAAGACTATGATAGCAAAGTTTGATTTAAATTCATTCAGCCATCTACGAGAAATTGTTAATTTTGTTAACATTAGGTCTATGGGAAAAAATGGTTCTGAAGTTGACTTTTTATAACAACAAAAATGTAGTATTAAAAAGTCAAAATTGCGCTATTTTTGTCCAAATATTATGTCAAATTTCTTTAATATTTTGTTCCCTACGAAAGAATAATCACTTAATTTTTATGAAACTTTGTGTTTGTGATTTGCTTTATCAAAAATAAGTTTACCAAAATTACCAATTAAAACTATTAGTCAATGAATAAAAAGTTAATAACACATATTCATTCAATGATCAATACATCTCACCTTTTACTTTCGCATTAAACATATGTATTAGTTAGATAAAGTAAGACAATGTAGATTAATTAACAAAATAAAATTTATAAAATGTCATAGCGAGTAAATTATGATAAAATTATAAGTAGGCTAGCACCATATAAAAATTAATCATTTTATTGTTAATTGTTTAGTAAATAAGTTTGTAATTTACACAATTGAGCATGAACTATTTTATTATATTAGCGTTGACCTTATGCTTTTGGTCAGGTCATGTTAAACGATCAGGTTAAACTTAAAAACAATTTAACAATCTCGTTTAAATTAAATTATTAATAAAACTAAATTTTATTTAAATAGTTAATTATTTGTATTTACTAAATCACCCTAGATGCGCAATCGTGTCCTGACAAGTGGACGGCCACTGAGCATCACTGTTACCGACACGTTGTCGGCGCCGTTGCCACTGAGGCCGAGGCTAAGAGCGCGTGCGCGGCACTGGCCAGCGGTTCAGTGCCTGTCACAGTACACAACAACGAGGATAACACTGAGTTGACACACTTTTTAGGCACTAGTGTTGACACAAGTTTTTACATCGGCCTGGAGTACAAACCGGGAACACCGGTGGGTCAGTGGAATTGGCTCGACTCAGGCAATGCCCGCACATTTCACTTATGGGACAACACGGCTGACGCAAGTGGTTTGGTACCATGCGCGTTTATTAACATGGTCAAAGGGGTGATGTCAGGTTGGCTGACCAACGACTGTAAGCAACCGATGCGGTCAGTGGTGTGTCAGATACCAGTCCGCTCTTTGAACATGTTGTATGAAAAAATGGAAAAGTTGACAAATGAGTTACAACAAGTTAAACATCAAGTTGGATCGGTGCCCATAGGGTTTATATACGTACAGTTGCCCCACCAGAATGATCCAGGACTAATTTGGGGCACTGAGTCCAAGTGGACGGACGTGACCGCGTCGTACGCGGGGCTATTTTTCCGAGCAGAAGGCGGCGGGTCGGCCGCGTTTAACCCATCGGGGGTTACGGTTCAGGAGAGCCATGTGTTTAACAAGTTTACCATAGAAACGATAGGATTGAAAAATGTATCTCATAATGGTCAAAGCGAGGTGCGTACAAGTGAGTTGAAAGAGCAAGTTAAATCAGGGGAAATTGTGCCTGAAGATGCACTCTACAAATTGAACATGTACATGGATATTAAGGACGCACATCCCAAAAACACCGCCGTGAAAATTTGGCGCCGTTCAGGCTAGAATCTAGCCGCTAGATGCATTTGTTGTCTAGTTAAACTATTTTTCCAAATTTATTTTAGCAATTATTACAATTTTAATGTTAATAATTTTTATAATTTTAATTCAATAAATGTTTCTATAGTATTATTAATTTTTACATAGGCATTAATATTTATTTAACTACAAATTTGCTAGAAATCTAAACAATTATTAGTGGTCTGCCATTTAATGTAATTTTAATTAAAAATACATGATAATTAATGATGCACAAATATATCTAAATTTTTAAATATGTAATAAGTAACTTAAATTTATTTATGCATCAAAATAAACAACATATAATATTTACATAAATATTATGCAAAAAAGTGATCATGCTTAATATCTTTTAAAATAAATAAATTGAATTAAATTATTGACATAATTAAGAAATAATTAGAACCAGAAAAGTACATGTATTGGAAAAACTCGTAAGAATTAATAGAAAACCAATCTAAGCAATAGTAGCCGATTGTGGGTCCCATCGATAGCCTCTCTATGAATGCAAACACTTTCAACCGATCGCACAGTGAGAGCACCGGTTGTCGGCCACCAGTGGTGGACAGGTATGACAGTAACAACGGGTATGGCTTATGGGCGGCCTTAGAGATCCAGGTGTTTAATAAACAAACTATTAATGATATGGAACCGAATGTGATTGACAAAACAACCATCATTAGTCTAATTGATAAATCACTATTTTTATTGTGTATCAAATATACACCTAATTGAGTGCACGGGGTTGTTATGAAATACACCACAAATATAATGTATTTCATGGTTTCGTTGAGACGTTTTGTCTGTAATTCCCAGTAATTGTGTTCAACGATAGCCGACATTAATACGAATAGTGCACGAAAATCTAGCGCCGAAAAACAGGCATATGTTTTTTTCGACATAATAATTTTCGGTCAAAATTTTATTAATTGTGTTACCATATCTATATTTTAAATTTAATAAGTAATTTTGGATAAATATCAAGCCGATCGGCCGCACGATTAATTTATATATAGTTGATACCAATTTTAATTTATAGGGTGTGTCTTTCTAATGTTAAATTCTCATTAAACACCCACTATTGATTTGTTTAAGCGATTAGAGTTAGTTATTTTTAACTGTTTTAAATGAAGATAAATCATATTTTAATTTTTTAATTTGATTGGTAATTGTCATATAATGAATTGTGTTTAATTTGGTCATCCACATCAGGTTTAATATAATCAGATCAATTAATAATTATTGATCTTGAACAAATAATTTGAATGATTATATTTTTTTTAACTTTAATTACAATTTATAATTGTGAATTAAATAATTGAATATATCATGAGATATATCATTTTAAAGCTTATTTTTCGGTTGTTAATTTGGTATCTAATTCACTAATTTAGATGTAATATTATAGCTACAAATACAATTTAAATCCAATGATGTTATGCTCGATTTTAATGCACTATTCGTAGCCGTTTGTTATTGTATTTTACACTCAATGCTATTCTATGGATAATTCTAGAAACTTGTTATTTAAATAAACAACTGATATAATAAATACAGTAATATTTACACATATACATGGTGCGATAGCCAAACAATGTACAATTGTTAACACATTATAGATAAACATTAAGATAAATCTCACAATAGTTGGATTATCTAGAAAAATAATTGCATTTTGATAACCGAACATGATATTCCCGATTGTTAAACCAATAGACATAAACTTACGTATATACACATTACACCTGTGCATAGGGTTGCCAGACGTCCAGTTCTGGACTGGATTGTCCAGTTTTGGAAGCTCTTGTCCAGTGTCCAGTTCAGGGGTAAAACTGGACAATGATGTGCCCAGTTTTGAAATGTTTTAAAAATATTCTACGGCGGTATGAATAGTTTGCTACAGATTTATATTATTAACATATTTATATAATTTATATTTAATTACAACAAAATAAGGCCACTTTCTTTAGTAAATTTCGAATTTCATATAAACTAAGCATACATTTAAAATACTATTAGATTTATTATACTGATACAAATAATGAATCGTTTACTTTACCGAGTTTACATTAAGTCTAATCTAATTAGATTTATGCTTAAAATGTCCAGCACTGGACAATACAAACAATATAATTATGAATATAAGTAATATAATAAATTTGAAAAAAAATTTACATTCCAATAGCATTTTTTAAGCTTAAATAAAACATAAATATTAAATTCAAAAATATTAATACTGTATAAATAAAACTAAATATAAAATAAAACTTTATATGTATTAGTTGATAAAAAATTTAAGTTATATTTTACTTCAAAAAATAAAAATAAGATTCATTTATTAATAATAACGCTTAAAAATTAACGCAAAAATTCATTATTATGTTAACAGAATAGTGTTAATTATCATTTATAAATATTCTGTATTAAAAAACAACAGAATAATTATGTCCAGTTTTTGTCCAGTTTTAGGGTTGATTTTCTAATGAGAATCCATTTTTGGTCAAAATTTATCNTTAATTATCATTTATAAATATTCTGTATTAAAAAACAACAGAATAATTATGTCCAGTTTTTGTCCAGTTTTAGGGTTGATTTTCTAATGAGAATCCATTTTTGGTCAAAATTTATCTGGCAAGTCTACCTGTGCAACGATTTATATAATCGTTTAACTAAATCTAATCTTAAAGCATATAAGAATAAATTGAGTTTGAGCTTAATAAAAAATTCAATAGATGTTAATTTTCTTATTAATTCTAAATGAGTGTTCAATACTGATAAATAGAGCGGCATTAAGATTAATATAGATATAAAAAGGTAAAATGGTAATCTAAACTTTAAATATTCCCAATCGAATAACCAGGATAATATTTGTTCATCAGTTACAATCATTAGTGCCACAAATCTAGCGCCAAATAAAGCGACATGAATCTAGTTACGATAATTATAAATAATCGCCATTTATTGCCACTTATAATACTATTGGTGTGAGAAGTAATGTACGCCATGTATTCATCGCAACGACGGCTTACCGTTAGCGTTGCCAGAAAATATATTAGATATCCTGTATAATTGGGAACATTTTACCAAAAATTCCTGTATTTTCCTGTACTTCATTGTTTCACAATTAAAACTTTACATTGAAAAAATTTCCAAAGAATTATACTTTTGCAAAAATTTAAGTGTTTGTATAAATGTCTTTAGAATTGAATTAATTAAGTTTAAATTCATTTAATTTCTAGCATTAGCTCAGATTGTGGATAAACAGTAAGTATACACAACTAATAATATTAACAAATTTGAATATTTTAGTATTTTCATTGTTTATTGTTAAAATATTTATTCCTGTATTTCTCAATGTACAGGAATGACACCTTCCTGTACTCTGCAATATTCCTTAATTCCTGTATAATACAGGTCATTCCTGTATATCTGGCAACGCTACTTACCGTCACAAATGTTTTCCGTCTAAAAGTATCAAATTTTTCGCATTCAAACTCCAATTCTCTAAAGATTTTGCGATTGTTTGTCATAATTTTCTATCTAAATAAAATTTAAATAATTAATCCATGCATAAATATATTTACTTTGTTCATAATCAATTTACAGCAATAAATGTAATACTTATTATTTAGTAAAATTATGTGTTAAGTTGTATGATTTGTACTCAATATAATGAATGTAATTTTATAATGAATAGTAAGTTTTAGAACAGTATTTTGAATATTGTTATTTCATTATTTAGTCACTTTATCATTTACTTAATATTATATTTTGTTAGCCAATATTTAAATTATTTAATAAGTATTAGCTTTATCATTAAATAAAACTATATTTATTTAATTCTTCAATTATTTAACATTTAATATTAATAATTTATATTTAACACTTATAATATTCATCGTACAGTCCAAATAATTTTTCATTTAGTTCTTGTTAAAACATTAACTGAAACTTTTTTATTTGAGTTATTAAGTATTTTTTAATTATGGTACCATAATAATTTTTATTTTACAAATATCATTTTCATCTCATTATTCAAATAACTTTTTATGTATGATTTATGATTATTAAAAAATATATAAAAATTGCAAATATTAGTTATATTTTGCATTATGTTTAAATAAATTAAAACAAATAATTTATGAATATTTATTCAATTATAGTTTATTCATATACAAATATTATACAAATATAATATAACTAATATTGAGTTTGTTTTAACAATAATATAATATTTGTATATTGATCAATAATTATTTAATCACGATGAAAATTTTGTGTACAAATATTGTAAAATACACCATAAATTACTTTAAAAATAATAACATTTCAGATTATTTCAATTATTTAACCCTACAAGCGTCTGCATACATTATGAACGTTGCGATTATAATGGGATTTAAATCTCCCAGCATTACTGTGTGCAAATTGGGAGTTTAATCTCCCATATATGCTGAACTGTGTACAGTGGGAGATAAATATCCCAGCAGTAAGTATGTTTGATAGACATTGTGTTGCATATGATTGCATTTTTATAAAATATACATTCAATTACTTCACTAATCCCCGCTATCTAAACTGCATTTAAAATATAATTAATTAATGTATTTTTATAACTATATATTTATTAATTTATCAATTTTTGTATAACTATATCGATGATCGGTATAATAGTAGAGCACATAAGTAAAATATGTGCTAAAATACTACTTATTTTGTATATAGCGTATACTGTAATAATATATATTATGTATCATATACACTATTCGTATACAATATATTTGTTCTTTAAACAAAATACTATATTAAATCCATTCTTAAATTTTTTATTTATAATTGTCATCATATTACAATATATAATTTTAAATTATATTTATATTTTTCATAATAAAAAATGTGTTTATTATGTAAATTGAATAACCTGTATTAAAACACTAACAATCATTGGCAACAAGTCATGTGATTATTCATGTAATTGTAGTTTT